TGAGGCTGAAGCAGGCTGAGGCTGAGGCTGAGGCTGAGGCAGGCTGAGGCTGAGGCTGAGGCAGGCTGATGCTGAGGCAGGCTGAGGCTGAGGCTGAGGCTGATGCAGGCTGAGGCTGAGGCAGGCTGAGGCTGAGGCCGAGGCTGAAGGCAGACTGAGGCTGAGGCTGAAGCAGGCTGAGGCTGAGGCTGAGGCAGGCTGAGGCTGAGGCTGAGGCAGGCTGAGGCTGAGGCAGGCTGAGGCTGAGGCTGAGGCTGATGCAGGCTGAGGCTGAAGCAGGCTGAGGCTGAAGGCAGACTGAGCTGAGGCTGAGGCTGAGGCTGAGGCTGAGGCTGAGGCTGAGGCAGGCTGAGGCTGAGGCTGAGGCTGAGGCTGCAGGCTGAGGCTGAGGCAGGCTGAGGCTGAGGCCGAGGCTGAGGGCAGACTGAGGCTGAGGCTGAAGCAGGCTGAGGCTGAGGCTGAGGCAGGCTGAGGCTGAGGCTGAGGCAGGCTGATGCTGAGGCAGGCTGAGGCTGAGGCTGAGGCTGATGCAGGCTGAGGCTGAGGCAGGCTGAGGCTGAGGCCGAGGCTGAAGGCAGACTGAGGCTGAGGCTGAAGCAGGCTGAGGCTGAGGCTGAGGCAGGCTGAGGCTGAGGCTGAGGCAGGCTGATGCTGAGGCAGGCTGAGGCTGAGGCTGAGGCTGATGCAGGCTGAGGCTGAGGCAGGCTGAGGCTGAGGCCGAGGCTGAAGGCAGACTGAGGCTGAGGCTGAAGCAGGCTGAGGCTGAGGCTGAGGCAGGCTGAGGCTGAGGCTGAGGCAGGCTGATGCTGAGGCAGGCTGAGGCTGAGGCTGAGGCTGATGCAGGCTGAGGCTGAGGCAGGCTGAGGCTGAGGCCGAGGCTGAAGGCAGACTGAGGCTGAGGCTGAAGCAGGCTGAGGCTGAGGCAGAGGCAGGCTGAGGCTGAGGCTGAGGCAGGCGGAGGCTGAGGCAGGCTGAGGCTGAGGCCGAGGCTGAAGGCAGACTGAGGCTGAGGCTGAAGCAGGCTGAGGCTGAGGCAGAGGCAGGCTGAGGCTGAGGCTGAGGCAGGCTGATGCTGAGGCTGAGGCTGAGGCTGAGGCTGAGGCTGAGGCTGAGGCTGAAGCAGGCTCAGGCTGAGGCAGGCTGAGGCTGAGGCCGTGGCTGAGGCTGAAGCAGGCTGAGGCTGAGGCTGAGGCAGGCTGAGGCTGAGGCGGGCTGAGGCTTAGGCAGGCTGAGGCTGAGGCTTAGGCAGGCTGAGGCTGAGGCTGTGACTGCGACTTCCGTTGCCACCGCGACTGTCATCGCGAATGCGACTACGACTGCGAGAACAGCAGAATTCTACAACTGGATTCTCATCTGAATCTTAAAGGGAATGCTTCCAGATATGCTCCTACACTTCGCTGTTTGGTTGCTTTGCCGGGATAAGTTCCAAAATGCTGCTCTCGCTGAGGCGCCGGCCTCATTTTCAGGCCCCGCTCGTTCCGAATCGTGCTCCCGCTGCAGCGCTGACATCATTTCCGCCGGCGCCTGCAGTGCACGCCCGAGCCGGCGCCCGGGCCGGCGCCCGGACCGGGTCCGGAGCCAGTTCCGGCCGGCGCCGGAAAATCGAGTTCCCGGGCGGCGCCGAAAAAAGGCCATTCTAATACAAAGTTTTCTTTTGGATGCTGAATTTCTGCTTCCGGCGCCCGGGAGGCCTCCCGGGCCGATTCCGACGCCCAGGCTGGCGCCCGAGCCGGCGCACGGGCCGGACGCCCGAGCCGGCGCCCGGGCCGGCGCCCGGGCCGGGTCCGGAGCTGGTTCCGGCCGGCGCCAGAAAATCGAGTTCCGAGGCGGCGCCGAAAAAAGGTCGTTCCAATACAATTTTTTTTGAAAATGTGAATTTCTGCTTCTGGCGCCCGGGAAGCCTTCCCTGGAGTTAGGTTTTCGCCTGCAATTTTTCCCAAAATGCTGCTTTCGCCGGCCTCCGCTCGTTCCGAATCGTGCTCTCGCTGCAGCGCTGGCCTCATTTCCGTGCTTCCGCTCGTTCAGAATCGTGCTCCCGCTGCAGCGCTGGCCTCATTTCCGCGTTTCCGCTCGTTTCGACTCGTGCTCCCGCTGCAGCGCTGGCGTCATTTCCCGTGCCATGCCACGGCATGCAATGCAATGCCAGGTTGATACTACGCTTTGCGGCGCTCTTCTACGCCATGCCATGCCGTGCTCTACAATGCATCGCGTGCCCTTTCGGGATCATCGCCCTGCTTGACATCCGACTGTGCGAGTGGAGAGGGGATCTGCGCCATGGTAAGGGATGGGAGGGAGGGGTAGGATGTCAGATATGACGCGTGCGCACCTAGCTTGTCCTCCTCCCCCTCCCCCACTCGCTACTCCTCTCCTCCTCTCCTCCTCCTCCTCCTCCTCCACCTCCTCCTCCTCCTCCCCTCCTCATTATCCACCACCTCCTCCTCCTCCTCCTCCTCCTCCCCTCCTCCTCCTCCTCCTCCTCCTCCTCCTCCTCCTCCTCCTCCTCCTCCTCTGCCTCCTGCTCCTCCTCCGATTCCTCCTCCATCCTCTCCGTTTTGGGGAACGACATCTTACCCAGCCCTTTGTTCAACTGCATGCTCCTCCACATCCCTGATCAGGGCAATTCGTCTGGACATCGTTTCTGGATGTGCTGGTGGGGTTTCGCGAAGCGTCTAGAATTCCCATGCATACCTACAGCGACAGAACCTGACGGCGGCCAGCACGGCGATGCAACGTGAAGCACCTGACTGCACGCACAAGACGAGGCAGGCACGACGACAAGAGTGCGATGCTCAGGATGATGAAGGTGAGGAGCCCACGCAGAACAACAACTCCCTCTCGACGCTCCTCCGCAACAAAAAAAAACGCGAGGCCACCCCCAAATCCCTCCCCATGGCCCCCATCCCGGATCGACCTCCGGCGGCCCCCGGGGCCCGAGGCGGGGGCCTCCGGCTGTGCCGAGAGACCGGCCGCACGCGGGAGCACCCCACAGGCAGGCGGGGCCCGCGGCGCGCGGCTCGCCGATCGCTGCTCGCGGCGCGGCAGCGATCGGCCTGCGCCCCCGAAGGCGCCCCCCGGAAGCCGCGCACCAGAGGTCCGAAGTGCTGACGCCCGCTCCTCGATCCTCGCTCCTCGCTCCTCGAGCCTCGAGCCTCGATCCTCGATCGTCAACGCCGACCCGCCGCAACTGGGGGAGCCGTGGCCCTCACCCCCCTGGGAGAACCCCTCGCGTCGGCGATCTCTCGGGAGGGGTGTCGAAATCGATGGGCCCCCCAGGGGGGTGAGGACCACAGCTCCCCCAGCTGTGGCTGGCCTGCAGCTCTCGCATGACCCGGGGCGGACGGTAGCAGGGCCTCGTTGAGCAGGGAGCGACCGTCCCGGCATTCCTATAGGCCTGCCACGCAGTGTTCTGAGAACCCCAAGATATTCTAAGAACAGAGACAGCGTTCTTAGAACAAAGGCCCGATGTGCTGAAGCATGGCAGCCTGAGCCAAATAACTGTTCTAAGAACACTTTTGTGCAGACCACGAGAAAAGGTTCTTAGAGCATCCCTCGGGTGGGCCTATAGGCGAGCCCGGACGCCTCGCCACTGCTTGTGAGGGGTGTGCAGCTGCAGCCACATGGGGGGAGGATGGCGAGCTGGCTGAACCCGATGTGCTAAAACAAAGCAGTCTGAGCCAGAAATGTTCTAAGAACACTTTTTGGCAGACCACAAAACACGCTCGTAGACCATCCCTCGGTGGGCCTGTAGGCGAGCCCGGACGCCTCGCCACTGCTTGTGTTAGGTCGGGCATGTCCCCCCTCAGGCGGATCTGGGACGAAACATAAGACATACCCCACACATGCCCCAAAAGTATTCGGAAATGGTCAAACAGACATCGCCCCCCTGGCATGTTTAAACTCTTGTGGAATATGCCCCCTGCAGAGGGACGGGCCCGACTTCGGCGGTGGACAAACCTCCCTTTAGTAGACCTCCCCTTAGTGAAAACGGCCTGGGGCCGAAACCGGCGGACCTGGACCCGCAAAAATGACGGCCGCCACGCCCTCTCGCGAACCGAAAACGGCCAATTCCTTAATCGACGTGTCAGGGTAGGAGGTCTGTCCATCCCCGACGACTTCCTGCTTGTGAGTGGTGTGCAGCTGCAGCCGGGGGGCGGGGGAGGCTGGCGAGCCGGCCGCACGCGCAGGCGGAGGCCGCGCACCGAGGCCTCCGGCACGGCGGCCGCGCGCGGCGCACTCGCCGCGGGGGGCCCGAGGGGCCCCCCGCCCCCCGAGAATCAGACTCAGGTCGGGCCTGTCCCTCGTGCAGGGTGATCTCGGACGAAAGATTCAAAATACTCGTAAGAGATTCAAAGGATGCCCAAAAATGCTCCCAAGATAGTCCCCAGACTACCTTTTGACTATTTTGGAATGTTCCCCCTGTAGAGGGACAGGCCCGACTAAAAATTAGACAAGCGAAGGGGGCCCAGGGGCACGCACATGAAGACACACAAATCCCAGGATTCCCCGCATTTCCCATATTTGTTTCTCGGATTTTCGCCTTCCTCCCCACTTCCCATATTCTCCCACATGTTCTGGGGATCGACGATGAATCGTGTCTGTGTGTTTTTTCCTCCTGGACAAGCGCGCTCCGCTACTCGCAGAGCAGCTGCTCGCAAAGGGTCTGGATCCGCCACGGGGGATTTACGACACATCAGATCGATGTGGACATGTGTGTTTCAGACGGTTGCGAGCCAGGCACTTTGCGAAGACAGTCGGGTCGTTGACCTAAGGAACCCTAAATAAGGAACGAGGCCCCTTTTTCCCATCAGTTAAGGTTCGATTTCCCATCGAAAACCTAAGGAAAACCTAAGGCAAGCTGTGAAACAATCAAGGAACACGGAGCCCCTCCCCAACGAAAAGGGTTCCTTCCTCAGCGCCCCGACTGTAAGGGAGGGCGCTCGGTGACCCCCGTCGTCCGCCCGTCGCCGCCGGCAGGGAGCCGGAGCCGGAGCCGGGAGGTC